GGTTAGAAAAACTGGAAAATGTGACTTCGAGAGCAACTTCTCTATTCTGCCTTCAGAGAGAGAAGAAAAAATAACTACCATAACACGGACAGGGGGCGTTGCCAAAACATGGCATTTTTGTGGTCTGCTCAGGCCAACGCTTAATATTAAGATGGCAGGAGCAAACAGTCACATTTGCTTCCGGCCGGCGGCAAAAATAGCCAACCCCACAATACCTCCGGCGGCTGCCCGGCCCCCTGGGGGTGGCGCCGGCGGCGGCGTGTTTACCTATGGGGCCTGGGCTTGCTCGGCCGCTCGGTCTCCAGCATCCACTGCCAGACATCCTGCGACCTGTCTCCGTCCTCCCTGGGCAGCTGCAGCCCGGCTCCTTCCCTGGCGGCCGGGGCCGGGCTGGGCTGGGCGGCTCTGCCACTGCGCCTGGGCAGGGTGCTGCCTCGGCTGCCGCTGCGGGGAACCAACAACCACGCCCCTTACCTCTCTGGGATGCCCCGCGGGGCAGATGGGACGGTGCGGGGTGAGATGCACCTGTTCCCCCTGCCTCCCTACCCTGTGCCCCGCTTCCTGGAAGCAAAATGCCCGTGACCTCTGACCTCACCCCACACCTGCCCAGGGCTGTGGTTGGGAGAAACCCCACTGGGACAGCCCACTCCCGAACACTTACCCCGAACTGCTCGGCAGGCCCGGGCTCCGGAGCCTTGGGGTGGCTTTTGCACTTGGGGTAGCAGTAATACTCGGGGCCCCCGGGACAGAAGCAGCGCACCCGCTGTGCGGCCTCCGCCTCCATCTCCTCCTTGGTCTTGGGGACGGCGTGGTGGTGGATGTAGTGGTGGTGCACGTGCTTCGTGGTCTGCTTGGTCACGAAGCCCTTGGCCCCGAGGAGGGGGCAGCCGGCTGGCGAGGCGGCGGGGGGCAGCTTGCCCCCGGGGGGCAGCAGGGGGTGGTACAGCGGCTGGTGATGGTGGTGGTCGGGGGAGCGGGAGCGGGGGCTGGAGCGGCCCACGCCGGGGGACTGGCAGCCCGGGGTCTTGAGGACCCTGGACAGGTGGTCGTCCAGAATCGTCTGCGGGTCCTCTTCGTAGCTGCCGGAGGGCAGGAGGGAGAGGGGGTGCTGGGGGGGCGCCCCCTCCCGCAAGCCCAGCACGAGCTCGGACCCCTCCTTCTCTTCATCCTGGAAGGGAAGGCAGCAGAGGGGGGCCGTGAGCAGGGGGGACCCAGGGACGCATGGGGACCGGGCGGGGCGGGGCCGGGCCGGCACTACCTCGCGCATCTGCTGCAGCCGCTCCTCCAGGCTGTGCCGACTCGCCAGCTCCAGCTGCAGTTTCTCCAGCCTGGAGATCAGCTCGGCCGCGAAGGCAGCGGGGTCCACGGGGGTCATCTCCTTGGGCAGGCGGTGGGTTCTCTACAGGGTGCGGGGAGAGAGACGGGCACATTGAGCCGGCTGGGCGCGCGGTGCCCGTGGTGGCCGCGCCGGAGCTGCCCGGGCTGGCGATGTGCTCGGCGGCTCCAGGTCCGGGCAGAGCGCGGCCGGGCTGCCGGGGAGCTTTATGTGCCGGCGCCGTGGCCTCATGGAGCGCCATGGTCCCCACCAGCGTTTGCCTTGGGCAGGAGCAGTTGGTCGCACTCCGAGAGGCCCCGCTTGTTCTCTCTGTAGTACAACCAGCCCATCAGTAGCTACTCTGAAGTCGAAAATCTTCAAAGACTGTTGTCAAACATCAAAAAAAAAGAGGCAGCCTCTGAGGTGGGGAGGGGAGAGAGCCCAACTCAAGGAATAAAAAGTAGAGTCTAAACAGAAAGGGAGTTGGAAATTAAAAAAAAAAAAAGATTGGAAGGGAGGTGGGGGGGAGGCAAAGGGAGGGAAGAAAGGGAGTCACGCGGCCGGATCAGAAGGAGCGGTAATTTATTTCCTGGCCGCACACTGCGCACCTTTGAGGCGGTGTTGTCTCAACACTGTCCTAGATCTGCCTGCTTCCCCCGCCCCCTCCCCAGCTCTTTGTACAGAAAATGAAGAAAGCTGCTGCGGGCTAGTAGCAGAACACTGCTGAGTTTGGCTGCCTGAAGCTGCTCTATCAAGGGAAAGGGAACATCTCCAAATCAAGTGCGGAATATAAAAAGGCACCGAGCTCGCCTGCCAAAAGCAGCAAACAGAGAGAACCCCCACGGCCGCCCGGCTCTCTCTCCTCCTGTCATCTCGCCCACCCTCCTCCCGCCCACCTCCTCCCCGGAGTCCTGCCTCCTTCCTCATTTCCCTCTTGCTTTGCCCTTTTCTTTGGGGTGCGGTGGGGGCAGCAGAAGGCCAACGTGGGCAGGCCAGCCTTCCCCCTGGCAGATGGGTGGGCCTCGCCCGGTGACCGTTTAGCTGCAGACCCTGCTGAGGGGACAGACAACCTGCCCCCCTCGGTAGGAGACGGCTCTTCTCACACAGGCGGGCTCCAGGCAGCCCCTCTCCCCCACCACGGGGCTGCCTCCCGGAGAACTTGGTCTGCACCCCAGGACAGAAGCATCTACCTTACAAGCCTGGGTGTTAGAAGCTTCCTTTATAAATACACAGAGACCCCTGCCCTGTCAAAAATGTTTATATCATCAATACTGTTGTATTTGGGAGGTAGAGCTACTGAGGAGGGAGATGCTGGAGGTCCCCAGAAAAGCAATCTTAGTGTGCTAATTTTAGGACAAGCTCAGTCCGCCCCGGACTGTGCACGGTTTCAGAGAGAGCTGCTCTGGCTACAATCTGTGCACGGATGCAACACAGGAGCAGCAATTCCAAGTGTTAATTTTCCAAATGCAACATAACCCATGGACCGATTGGATTCTCGGGAAGGATTCCTGAACACAGATGCTGCTCTAAACTGGGGACTCTCCCCCCCGACCCTTGCAACCTGCACCTCAGACCACTGCCAGAAGCACAGCTCCTGAAATGTACAGGGGCACGTGCTGGCTGCCCTCCAGGACACGGAAGGAGAAGGGAGGGTGCAGAGGGGCCCTTCATGCCATGCTGGCCTCTCATCGCAACCGCAGGAAGAAGCTGTTCGCGACCCTCGCTGCCAACACTTCACTCATTCAGCAGCATTAGGTGCAGAGCCTACGGCAGGAACTGAGCCGCGTGCTGGGCTTGGAAACGGACAAGATGCTATCGCTGCCCTCCAGGGCCTCAGGTCAGCAGGAGGAATGGCCAAGTCAACAGATACATGGATGATGGGAACGACTGAGCCATGCCGTCAACACAAGAATGTCCTAGGGATGGAATTTTCCTCCCACAGGAAGCAGATTCCTCGAGCCTCCTTTTCCTCATTCATTCATTCATTCATTCAATTGATCACTCGATCAATCAACAAGCACCTATCATGTGCCAGGCACTGTTCGTTTCTGTGAACAGGGAGGCTAAGAAGAGACAAAACTCCCTGCCCTCAGGATGCTCCCACTGCGGTGGGACCAAGGAGACGCGTGGACGATCTGCTATCAAGTCCTGGTTTCCCAGAGGAACTGCTTTGGTTTCTTTCTCGTAGAGAATTTTCTTTTATGAACGAGAAGTTGGAAGGGTTCAGGAGGGTCATGTCAAGCTCCCCACTGCTCAGCATCACAACCCAACGAACCACGTAAGCACTCCTTGCTGGTCTTCCCTCCCCACCCTGTTCCCAGCAGGCCCAGCACTGCCCCTCCTACTGTCTCTATGCCCCTCCTCCTCCCACCCCTTTTCTTCGTGGCTGAAAACAGTTACCTCCCCCTCTAGGCTATACTCACCGGGAAATGAGGTAGAGACACTTGGCCATTGGCCTTCACGCTGCGATGCATTTCTCTCTGGAGCTGTTTCTTACTCCCCACGCGGTAAGGAGGGATTCCATCTCTAAGGGAAGGGAAAAGACAGAACCCGCAGGCTCACGAGATGCTGTCAGCATCAGGATGCTCAGATCCCAGCGAGGACGGGGCCACACACCTCCCCGAGAGTGCACCCTGCCCCATGGCCACCGCTGTCCCTGCGGGAAAGTAACCCACCATCACACTGCCACGCCCCTGCCCATCAACCATCTCTGGAAATGGCTCCCTCTCGGATTCAGGATCCCCGACTTGGAAAGAGGGTGGTAAGCTCTTCTCTCAGGCTGTTCTCGCAGAACTGGGTTCCACTCCAGCCAGCCCAGCCAGAGTGAAGATGCCCCACTTTACAGGTGCCCGAAGCAGGAGATCCGAAGACCCTTTTGGTCCTCCCAACAATCTGTTGCCACCACAACACACTACCCTGAATCGGGAAACCAGGTGTGCCTTATGGCGCGTACTAGGGCCAAGCCAGGCGTTAGTGAAGCTGTGGCAACTCTCCGACCTCACCCTCCCAGGCGTTTCCAAATGTCTTCCTCATACAAATCGCCAGCAGGGTAACCTCGGGCTTTTCCCTTCCCTCAGCTCCAATCCCAACCAACCAAGTCTCAGAGACATGACCAAGGTGGGCATAGAGACAAAGCCCCTACTCTGTGGCATTCTGTGCAGTTCATTCCAGTATCTGAGGACCTACCATGTGCCGAACCTCGTTCTAGGCACTGGGCAAACGAGCAGGGAAAAATGCAGAGGACGGCGGCCTATGAAGCTTTATCCTAATGGGTGCCCAGGCAATAAGCAAAAATAAAAAACGCAAAACCTGTAGTATGCCAGAGGTGGTAATTACCATGATGAAACACACGGCAGGAAATAGGGAGAGAGGACCACCTGGGGGGGGGGGGGAGGTGGGCAGGGTGTTGCAATTTCAGCCCTGGCCCCCCACCACTTCATGCTCACTGGCTGGGGGGCATGCCAGGTGGTTCACGGGGAAGTGTATTGTCAACGATGTCCCGGCAAAGACCAGAATGAAGGCAGCACGGGCCCCTACGTCCTTCCTCGTGGCATTTGAAAAACACAGGTGGAAGAGGTAAGAATCGCCTGCACTCGGGACTCCAGCTAGTCTTCACCAGAAACACAACCTGCCGTGGCTGTGGCTTTTTGGAAAAGAACTTTATTCTTGAGAGCAGCCGAATGGTCAAGGGGGTTCAACTTTCCCCTCACTGTCCCTTCCGGAGGTGAAAGCCTCATGGTCACACAGCTCCCTCCTGCATCATCCTTGGAGGCTGTCAGCATTGAAATGAGGGGTCTGGCTGTTCCCTTTCCCTGGTGTTTGTTCATGGGCCGGAGGTTGGTTCGGCAGCAGTGGGTGGAACCAGCAGTAGGTGGGACCAGCAGTGGGTGGGACCAGCAGTGGGTGGGACCAGCAGTAGGTGGAACCAGCAGTGGGTGGGACCAGCAGCGCCTAAAAGGACGCAGGAGGGAGCCAGCGGCTGACCTCTGGCCCCTTATCTGCAAGGCCCTAGGATTCCAGTGGCTGCGTTTTCCGGAAGTCTGCTGACCGAGGCTGGACAGGGCCATGGTGGGGATGATACGGGTCACAGATCAGTGATCTGTTAGCCAAACCTGGCTGAGAAGCACATGAAGGATCATCGTATTGAGGTGCAGGGCAGGAGAGCAGGATCTAAAGTAAGGCCTTAGACACACTGAGTCCTGTCCCAGGGCAAGGGCGAGGCCCGGGCAGAGGCAGCGAGCGCCGGGGGAAGCGGCAGCCACTTGCCAGCGCAGGTCAGGTCGCCCACAGTCTCCTGCTCATGAGGCCGGGGACTGGATGGGCCCTGGAGGCCAGGGAGGATAAAGGGTCCGAGTGCAGAAGCCTAGTGCCCACCTGGAGCTTATGTACCGACGCTCAATGTTCTCACCTTTGATGGGAGAGAACCCCGGGCCCTCCAGGGCATACCGAGAGAGCAGGAAACCCGGTGATGGGCTCCAACCACGGCTGCTGGCCCCCCACACTGAGTTCCTACTGGGGGTCAGACATTCCTAACATAGCCCAACTCCGTTCCCACAAAACCCCAACTCCACCACATCTCGATGACCGGCGTCACAGTCAGCAGCGGGCGGTCCAGGGATCGGAACCCAAGCCGCTGCGGGCTCCAGAGCAGGTGTCTCAACCACCTACGCCTTCCTCGACTGGGGAGGCAAAGCTCCTGACTGAACATGGGGGTGCATTTCCAAGCCCCATGGAGTCACCTAACATGCTGAAGGGACCAATGGGAGACCTGGTGAACATTCTGGAAAGTCCTCTCCCACCACTTGATACTCACTGGCTAGGGGGCATGCCAGGTCAATCTCCTGGTCTCTAACCTAAACCCCTGTGGGGTAAGGGGGGGCGGTGGGTAGTGGAGGGCCCACAACTTGGGGTTCATGCTGGTCTAACCATCTCCTGCTGCCTCAGGGTTGCAAGGCAGCCTTTCTCTTGACCAGCAACCCTTTTCTGGGAAGAGGGTGGATGTCTCTGCTTTAGGCCTCTTCCTGACAATCTTGGGGGCCAGGAGTCAAGCACCCCATGACCCCACTGTGGCCCGCCCATCTCCCCCAAGACTCTGTCCTCTAGTAGTCTTTTCTCCTTTCCTCCCAGACGGAAATCAGTGGTCAGGCTTTTTGACCTTTGTCTTTTCCCATATGAGGTAGAAAGAAAAGAGAATTGGGGAACGTAAGTATGGGGGTGAGAGGAAGCAGTTCACTGGCCCATTTGAAGGCCAAATGAACAAATGATCAAATGATGGTTTTTAAGCACTGCCTCAACCAACCAACGCCCCCCCCCCACACACAACATCATCAGCATCCCCATTCCACCACTACCACCACCAGCACCCCCACCCCCCAGGGCAGCTGATGGAGCCAAGTGCAGGAAAAGGGAGATTTCAACTCTGAGGCTCCAAGAGGCCTGACAGGCGCCTGCAAGGAAATATGGCTCTAATTCTCCCCTCGCCAAGCATCTTCTTCCAAAACAGCCCCTCATTCCAGAAGGGGGCCTCTCTCCTTTTTATTCGGGCTCTAAAGTCTATGATCAGCTTCCTGGCTGCTCAGGACTGCGAGCTGAAGCCCGCGCACCGGCCCCTGCACGGCCTCCTTTCATTACAAACATGTGAGCTAACGAGCCGCTGCCGGGCCCAGCTGTTTCTGGGAGCACCGGGTTTGAAGTGTGGACTCCATTTAGCTGCCCTTTAAGCCAAGCCAATTAGCTTAGCCTTTTGACTCCGCGGTGGTGCCCGGCCTAACCTGAATGTCGTTTTCCGGGGACTTTGAAAGAGCGGGCTCCCGCGCTCAGGCGTCCGCGCTCAGTTCCATTTGGCAGCCTCTCAGAGGGCCTCTGATCACAGCCAACATCAAAAGCCCGGTTTGTAAGATAAGGTAATATTTGAAGTTCACACGGAGGCTTTCACTGATGTCCAAAGTAAACCCATAAATAAGATATAGGGAAACAAAAATAAATAAATAAAACGACCCGCGCCGCCCTCGGTGTGGGACGCGAGGGAAGCGTCCTGCACTGATTTGGGGACACCCCGGGCGGACGCGGCCTTCAAGTCCAGCTGCTGCACGTGGCACACACGATGCCTGCCCCCTAACACAGGGCACACCTGGGGGGCAGGGACCTGCTGCTGCTGAGGTTTCCAGCCTCTGGCTTCCTCCTCCTGGGCCTGAGGCCCGGGAATGCCCAGCCCCCCCTCCCGTCTCCCAGACTCCAAAGACGGGGCTTGGGACTTGGCTGGGAATCTGGCAGCTAACTTTCAAAAAAAGAAAAAGAAAAAGAAAAAAATTTTAAAGCCATTTCTTCCGAGAATGTGGGTTTCAGAGTAATAGGCTCATAAAAGGGCCTTCTCAGAGGCCTCTCGGGACCCCCGTCCCAGCCATCCTTAACAGGGCGCTTTACTTGGCGGGAAAACAGAAGCCAGCCATGGTTTCTTTAAATCCCCGCCTGCGCTGGACCTCCAGGCCCCGCTGCCCCTGGAACAAGCAAGTGCAGGCCGGCCCTGCCCAACTTCTACCCAGGCCCCCTGCAAAGGCCCCGGGACTTCATTGGTTCTATCGCCAATGAGACGATGGCCTCCCCGGGCTTGTGTCTAATGAACTCCAACCTTCTGGAGTCTATTGAAGGCCGCCCGTGACCCCCTCGACCCCTCCTCAGTCACATCCCCTCCTCAGCTCCCAGCAGGGCAGCCGGCCCCCTCCCCGCCCCTGGCCGCCCCCCTCCCCGCCCGAGCCGGCCATTGTGGCCAGGAGAAACAGCCAGGGCCTTTTCATGCTTTATGGGGCGCTCCTATTCACTTGTTCAAGGAAATTTCAAAGGGCCTGCTACCCTCTTATCCCCTCTAAGCTTCCCCGGATGAACAATGGGCTGAAAGCGATTCAGTTCGGCTTTTCATCCCCCACACACTTTATTCCTCGCTCGGCACTCTCATGTGGGCCAGGCCCACAATTGGCAGAGCTCTGAGGAGGGGTCTAATCCAAGCCCTGGGAATCCTGGGTGACCCGCCCGACACTGGGCAGATCACATGCACTCAGGGCACGCCAAGTCCGCTGGGCAGGAGCGCGAGGAGGGCCCCGGGGACCCCCAGTGCCTGGCAGCTTGACACCCACAGAAACGTCTAAGCCCAAACACTCATCCCATCTGATGGGCTCGGGAGACCCCTTTGTCCCCCACTCTGGGCAGCACCAGGCGGAGCCCCTGGACAAACCACTCCCGAGAGAGGATGTCCCGCTCCCAGCTGGCATAAGAAGGCCCCAGTGGGCCCAGCTGTCGCGGCCCCATCTGATACCCGCCCACTTGGTTGGGAGGAGGCAGGCACCCAGCGCTGGGCCCCCAGGTCTCCGGCCCTCCCTAGGCGACCTGCTCTTGAGGTTGGCATCCTGGTTCCTCACCCCCAAGCCCACGCAGCTTCACCCTAGGCGGGATCCCCGAGGTTCTGCCAGTGGGGGCCCAAGGAATGTCCTGTGCCCAGAGAGAAAGCCACTAAGTGAGGGCTCTGCCTCCGCATGAAGTGGACCTCACTGGCCACACTCTACCTTCTGCCCAGAACCGCTGGCTCGCAAAGGCCACCTGTGTGATCCCTACGAGGAGAGGCTCTCCCGGCTCCAGGCCCACGAGTTCTTTAGCTAAAGTGGGGGGGGGGGGCGGAGAGCGTTAAAGTCACCTCTGTAAAAGCGAGGAAGGTTTTCTTTTGGGAAGGGGATGAAAGAAGAGGGGTACCGGGGGAGGGTGCAGGGGAGAAGTTAGAACTTGCTCCCTCCCACCCCTCCCCCCAACCCATTAAAAAAGCAGCAGTGTGGGTGATCGCTAATAAATAAAAAGAAAAAGAAACTCAAAGTGGCTCAAAGGTCTCATTACCCACTGGTCCTAGTAACGCATCTCACGTTGGAACTGTGGGTGCTTGGGGGGGGGGGGGGGAGAGGCGAAGGGCAGGGGCCGGTGTCTGGCCTGGTTCTGAGTCCGGTTCTGCCGAGAGAAGCTATGGCAGCATGGGCCTTACTTCCACTTGTCAGTCACAGGACGGCCCTTCCCGATTGGGTCTTGTGAGGCTCCACCACGTATGGGGACCACGCCCCCAGTTATCTCATCATGAAGCCAGGAGAACACAGCGATGGGGGTGGAAATGAAATAAATGCAGGCCAGGACCAGCAAGCAGGCCAAACAGTCTCTAAGGAAACTAAACAGAAGCCTTCCGCAAACTACCTTTGACTTTGCAGAGTCACTCAATGCCCTCATTCAAATCCGACTTCACCTATTTCACATAATGCTACCACTCCCATGCAACCCACAACACAACAAAAGCTGAAGGAGTAATGCTACCAGTAGCCAGCACACAACGGCAGCAAACAAACACACAGCAGGCAGGGTGACAAGAAAAAGAAAAACTCATTTTGAAAATGGGAGGGGGTCTCGACCAGTGTTGCTCAGTGGTTGAGCATCGACCTATGGTCACCGTGGTGGGCAAACTGTGGCTCGCGAACCACATGCGGCTCTTTGGCCCCTTGAGTGTGGGTGGCTCTTCCTAAGCCTTAGGAGTACCCTAATTAAGTTAATAACAACGTACCTACCTATATAGTTTAAGTTTAAAAAATTTGGCTCTCAAAAGGAATTTCAATCGTTGTACTGTTGATATTTGGCCCTGTTGACTGATGAGTTTGCCGACCACTGGTCTAGGACAGTGGTTCTCAACCTTGGCTGCACATTAGAATCACCTGGGAATCTTTTTAAAATCCTGATTACAGGGCACATGCCCAGGTTGCAGGCTCGATCCCCAGTTGGGGGCATGCAGGAGGCAGCCGATCAATGATTCTCACTGATGTTTCGATCTCTCCCTCTCCCTTCCTCTCTGAAGTCAATAAAAATGTACATAAAAAAAGAAAAGAAAATGGGGGGGGGGGAACAATACCACGTGTAGGGGCAGATAGCCTGATATAACCTTATAATCTATGATAATACAACACAGTACGAAAACAGATCTTGATATTAATTATCTGGATCAAGAAATAAATTATGCCTACCTAATACTATTCCATAAAGACAGAGTAAAAATGTATTAAGAACTATGCCCATCAAAGGATAATTTTTCTCAACATGGATATTTAAGGAGTTCAGGCCGACTTACTTCTGTGGAACTCCTCATTCCTCCACGTTGGAGGAAAGATGTGTACCCTTACTTATTGCTTCTCAAGGCAAAACTGCTATTCTTTTATTAAAGTAGGAAGCTTCATCTTGAGGATTTCTCCCTTTACCACCAGGGGAATCTGAGGTGACACAATAAAAGCCACCAGGATTTTAATCAATAGCAGAGTCCCAAACCAGCCTCATCAACTTTCCTTCGAACTAGTTCCATGCCAGAGACCAAGCAACAGGACATTGGCCAATAAAAACCATATAATCTCAAACAAACTGGAAGAATAGGCAGTCCGGTTTTTAGGAAGGTAAAAGGAACACACTCTAAGTACGCCAGAACTCACACAGCTCAATGGGTTTGCCTTTTAAAACTGCTCCCTTAGCGGGAGAAAGTCCTACTCAAAACATTTGTGGGGAAGCCTTCAAAGAGCATTTCCAGAATGGTGGTTCTCAACTGGTGATGGGTGAAAAGCTCTTGAGGAAGTTTTGCCCAAGGCCAGGCTCTCCCTCCAGCCTCCTGCATCAGAATCCCAAGGGATGGCAGGAGATGGGTATACCCAGCCCACCGCACCCCCACACACACATGCATGCACACACACACACACTGGAGTTCACATAGAATGTATGCTGTTCGCCTCCATTGCATGACCACAAATGACCTAAAGCTCAAAGCATGACCCCGCCCGCTGCCCTGCTGACCTCAGCAGACCACCCTGATGACTTGGATGGCTTTCAGAAATCAAAGCCATCCATCTGCAAAAGAGCCAAGATCGGCTCGACTTCGGAGGGAACCCAAACTTGGGGCAGAACCCCCACCCGACACAGAGCAGGCATCCTCCGAGACTTATTCAGTTGAACGATGTCCATGTGAGCACATTCATGAGGGAAACTGACACCTTCCATGCCTTTTCCTTCAAAAACAATGAACTAAACACAAACCCTTTTGACGCCACCCTGTCCCCCACCTGCTGGTTCTATAGAACCTAGCTTTCAAGGCCAACCCAGCACTTGTGCCCACAGGGAAGGCCGGCAAAATGACAACCAAAAGATGTGTGGTTACACTCAAATGTATAGATCTTAACCTTCCATACGTTACCTTAGTTTTCTTCTGTTACGGTACCACCCAACCTTCCCTTCAAGGCTCTAAGCTTACCACCAAGCTTACCACCACCTCACCTACCATGTCACCCTCCTCAACCACCAAACACATGTCCACAGATGGGATCTGCAAAACCGGGTGAGGATGGCTGAGGACTCTGGCCAGCTGATCCTGTGAATCACATGCCACCATGGACATGATGGGGACGCCAGAATACTTACACGCTACTGTCCGTCATGGACATGGAGTCGTCAGTCAGTGCGTCGCTGGATATCTCACTATCGTTGGCACTGGTGGCTGGTGCAAAGACGTAGCCGGAACCTACGTGGTAAGGGTTAACAGGGTCGCTCCTCTTGAAGGACCTGCAGGGAAAGTACGACAGCGGTGCGTCACGGATGCTCAGCAGAAACCCAGGTAGCCAGGTGGCCCCAGGACGAGTGCACAACCCCACGATCCATTCAATGGCAACCTGCTGCCCAGGGCCAGCTGCTCTCTGGGCAGAAAGCAGGGGCTTATAAGACACTGATTGGCCCTGGCGAGAAAGCAGGCTGGGTTCCTCTGCCCCCAGAGGAAGGTCTGCCAGGGGACGGAGGACCCCAGAGGCAGCCAGGGGATCCTAGCAAGTTCTACGTACACACTCACATATGGGAAGGAATGGGACTCTGGTCTTGGAGGGGAGGCTATGGATTAGAAGAGGGGAGTAAGTGAGTGGAGACGGGGTGTCTTCCCCCTCCCTGTCCCCTATCCGAGCTAGCACCAGGGGCGTACAATGTCAGGGTCCTAAGGTATCTTAAGTTTCCTCAGTAGCTGTTAGCATAGTTCGGAGACGCAACCACTTAGAGGCCTGGCATGGCCTTTGCATGTCAACTTTGGGCCAGTGAGCTGGACAGATGGCACAGAAAAGTTTAAGACAATGTTTAGGACTTGCACCCCACCCACAGCTGGGCCTCTGTGTGACCCCTCTCCCCCACCCTTCATTCTCCCAGGCTGGCTAAGGCCGGCAGGATTAAAATGAGCAGCACAGCTGTTTCAAAGGAGGGTCCAGGCCCCTCCTCCGGTGTCTCCCCCTTTTGTTTCCGTGGCCTCTGCCGCCCCATTTTGCCCTCTTGATCTCCTCCCAGAACAACCAGAGTGTCTGCCTCCTGCTGGGCCGCATTCCTCTTGTGTCACCAGCAAGGGACTTACGTGGGAGGAGGAGGAGGCAGGGGCCACGGTGGTCTTGGGGCTGCAGGAAGGGCCTGTGAAGCCTGAAGTTGCAGGCGGCCTCGTTTACAAAGACGGGCATACTCCACAGGCCCACCAAGTCTATGCCAACGACAAAGAAACCAACTGGAGGGGAACAGTGGGCTCAGAGAAAGAACCGACCCCATAACCGACCCCATCAGGCCACGGCGACTGGTCTTATAAAGATGGCCTGGGGTTGGCAGATGCAAGGGCCATGAAAGGTCAAAGCAGTCTTATGCTCGTGTGCACTGAGCTCCCACTCACCTACTATGTGTTCGGCACCGCATTGGACTGTGGGTGTACCCAGCCCCAGTCTCTGGTCGCCTGGTACCCATGGCCTGGTAAGGGTGTCACCATATGTGGGGAGAGAGTGGGCACCACAAGGGAGGTAGCCGGTGTAGTTACAGGCCCATGAAGAGGAGCACAACTTTCTACTCATCTCATTTAATCCTCATGGCCACCTGGGGGAGGAGCGGAGCCCTGTGCCCGTTCTCCAGGGGTGCCCATGGCGGTCCCACAAGTACAGCAGGCTGGCCTGGACCACAGAGCTGGTACGAGTGGGCATGGGATTGGTTTGTTTGGTGCTCTCTCAACCTCTCTTTTGCTTCCTGATGCAAAGACTAGCCTCAACATTTAAAAAAGCTATAGAAGAAGAGGCCGTATGAGTGACCTGGTAGAGGTCATCCTGGTAGAGCTAACGGGATGTTTCTAGCTGGATGGTGATGGAAACAAGGTGAACGCTGGTGAGTGAACAGGGATTCGAGGAGATGCCACACAGGATGGGGGAAGCAAAAAGTAGTTAAAAAGTCCTCCCCAGCCCAGCTGGCGTGGCTCAGTGGTTGAAAATCGACCTATGAACCAGGAGGTCATGGTTTGATTCTCAGTCAGGGCACATGCCCAGGTTTTGGGCTTGATCCCCAGGAGGGGGCATGCAGGAGGCAGCCAATCGATGATTCTCTCTCATCATTGATGTTTCTCTGCTCTCTCCCTCTCCCTTCCGCTCTCTGAATATATATATATTCATTCCTGCCCAGACTGGGGAGGAAGGGGGTGGAGCTAGTTGAGTCAGGAAGGGGCAGGGAGAGGAGAGGGCTTGAGGTTTTCCCAGCAGCATGGGTAACTGAGAGAGGGTGCACCAGGTTGGACTGGAAGGAGGGGTGGGGGGGGGCAGGGAGTTGCTGCCACAATTTGGTACAAGAGCTGAAACGGGGCAGGTGCCAGACAGACTGAATGGGATAGAGGAGGAGGAGGACGGCCCCTGCCTTTAAGGGGCTTGCACTCTTGTAGCAGGAGTGACAGCACTAACAAGGTAAGTCACATTCGGAGTCATAACATTTTAGAGTCAGAATGAACCTTAGACATTATCTAAACCAACCCCCTCAGTTTAGAAATGTTGATAAAAACCAAGAGCTACCATTGGTTGAGTACTTAGTATGGGTGGGGTCTTTGTTCTTGTCATTGATGTTTATCAAGCATCTGCTGCCCAATCATCTTTCATCCTCACAAACATCCAAGAAATAATGGAAACCCAGGTGGGACCCCACAGCCTCCTGGGAGGCCACCAGGCTGGAGACTGGGCCATGTGGAACCCACAGCTGGACTCCCTGAGAAGCTCGGCTGGCAGGCACCTTGATTCATTCTACTGAACTAGATGGGAGCATAAAGCCAGATCTTAGAGATGTTATGCAGATGCAGAATCAGCTGGAAAGTGCAAAGGGGGAACACTGCAATGGAACCTATCAAATACCTTGGGCCCAGTGACCTTGAACAGTCACCTGCATGCTCTGGCCCTGTTCTCATATCTGTGAAGGGCAAGAAATCTTACTCCCTCCCAGGATTCTTTATGACAATTAAATGAGGATGGTAAGATCTTCCATGCCTTAGCGCTGGTCCGCATGTCCTTACTCTGGGATTTCCAGGCACCAGGGCTAGAGAGAGGAGTAGTGACAGAAAAAAAAAAGCAATTGGTATTTCTGGAGAAGAGAAGGAATGAGGCATGATTCAGTGAAAACAGTCTCCTAGTCGACAAGGGAACTAAAAAAGAAGAGAATGGTCCTGTTTGGCATCAAAGGCAAAACGAGAGGAAATGGGCTTACAGGCTTCATAAGTCAGAAAGAGGAGAGCACTTTACTTTCTAATTAATTATTAGACCCATGAAGTGGATGGGGGCAGGTTATGGAATTGCCCGAGTCTTTAAAGTAGCCCAGAGTGCCCCACTACCTGGGGTGCTTGGATGGGGCTACAGCTCAAAGCGAGATGGACAAGATAACTTTTCCAGGATCCCTTCCTGTCTTCAGGAACACAGTCGTAAGTAAGCTTTGGAAGCCCTTGATGGGAAACAGAAATCAAGAGGTTGAGAGCTGGTGCTAGCTTAGCTCCCACCCAGCTGGGTGGCCACAGGCAAGTCACAGCCCCCAGGGCGTGGGGCATCCACCTCAGACAAGCACAGTTCAAACACAGCCAGCTGCATGAAGTTCTCACACCCTCTGCAAGGCCCAAGAAGGGCACTGTAATTGGGGGGGAATCAGTTTAATACTCCACAAAACCAAGAGCCAACATAAACAGAGAGCTCCTGTGGCTCTTTTTCCTCCTGTGGTATTTATCACGACTTATAATTAATTACACAGCATTGGCGTGTTTTCACACTGAATGCATGCTCTGAGCAACTAGACTGGAAGCTCCATGAGGGCCAGGACCCATCTGACTTCCTCACGTGTGTCTCCCCAAAGCTGAACGTACGCTTGTGATATGGGGCAGAAGCACAAAAGCTTGTTGAACCTCCTTAAAATACCTGGGTCCATCAGATGGGCTGCTGACAAGTTTTGGGTTTTTTTTAGTCCAAAGGCAAAGTACAAGATCAAAACAGCCTTAAATAGCATCCAAACACCCTTTCTACCACTTCAGTGTTGCTATCTTTGTGGTGCTAACATATCAACAACGTCCCAAATGTAAGGGTTATAATTCAACTTCCACAGGGAGAAAATGACTCAACAGGCATTCCTCCTCCTCCCGTCCCAAACGAAAAAGGCACCTCACTCAGATCCCATGTGCGCGCCCAGCTCTGCCCTCCGTGAACACATGGATCCCAAAATAAACGCGTCTCCCTTTGCTTCCAAAATAGAGGGCTACTGTGTGACCAGTCATTAAACACAGAATATGCCGCTCTTAGCTCAGTTGACTGCAATGAAGTGTTTGGACTTTCCTACAATCATAACAAGATAAGGCAGAGAGGAAGGAGGCAGCGTTGTGGGGGAGACAAACTCAATTTTTAAGAACCCCAAACTTTGTCAAAAATCACCAGATAATGAAAAAAAAATGGATTAAAGCTGTTTTCTGGTGATTACTTAACACACACACACACACACACACACACACACACAACGGAAAGAAACTCGGCCATGCTACAGTAATTGTACCCAGATGCTTTGATTATTTCTTCAGGACTGTTGTGCTCCCAGTTGCTGGCAGGATTTTAAATTCCTAGGGAGAGTGGAGGCCCATGGTACACATTTTGCACTGGGCGGACCAAGTTTGCAACGTCCATGTGCACAGGGCTTTCGCTGTCAGGTAGCGGAGGATCCTGGGGTCTTACCCGCTGGGGAAGTATGTGCTGCTCCACCTATTCTCATCTCTTATCTGGATGAGATGCTGCAGGCCCACACCCCTCCCCACGCACCAGGGCAAACGCTCTACAGAGAACACAGCAGAACTGACCTGTGGGGCCTCCTTCTGGGCCCCCTCTCAAAACAGTGCGACTTTAAAAAAAATGATTTGCTTCTAAGGCTGTGTGTTGAGGGCTTCCAGAAGCCCTGTGACAATCTACTCCCACAGTCACTGTCCAAAAGGCAACACTGTCTTCGGCAAGCATTGCCTAAGGCCACATCAGGGGGCATGCGGTGGGGGCCGGGCACTCGAGAGCGTGGGGCACTTGGGCCCTGAGAACGCCGGCAAACTTTTACCGTGGGGTGTCTTAGCAAACTGCCCTCCCCGGAGCTTCCACCCTAATTGTGGCCTACTGCTTCCAGCATATCTTTCCTATGGCATCATTTTCTTTGATAATTGAAGCCAAGCTTGATTCCAATGGCTTCGCACAAAAACGGGCCTCATCAGCGAGTTCTTTCAGAGAACAGGAGGCACT